CTTTGCTATTGTGAACAGTGCTGCAATGAACATGGGTGTGCATATATGTTAGTGTGATGGCTCTTACTTCTCTAGGATGTATTCCAAGGAGTGGGATAGCTGGATCATATGGTACTTCTATTTCTAGCTTTTTAAGGAAGCTCCAAATTGATTTCCAAAGTGGTTGTACCATTTTACATTCCCACCGACAGTGTATAAGTGTTCCAGTCTCTCCACAACCTCTCCAGCATTTATTATTTTGTGTTTTTTGGATTAATGCTAGCCTTGCTGGGGTGAGATGATATCTCATTGTAGTTTTGATCTGCATTTCTCTAATGGCTAATGATCGTGAGCATTTCTTCATGTGTCTGTTAGCCACCTGTATATCTTCTTTGGTGAAGTGTCTGTTCATATTCTTTGCCCATTTTTTATTGGGTTATTTGTCTTTTTGTTGTTGAGGTTTTGCAGTATCTTGTAGATGTTAGAGATTAGACGCTGATCAGAATTGGTGTAGTCAAAATTTTTTTCCCAGTCTGTAGGTTGTCTTTTTACTCTTTTGCTGAAGTTTTTTGATGAGTGTAAGTGTTTGATTTTTAGGAGCTCCTGTTTATCTAGTCTCTCTTCTAGTGCTTGTGCATTGTTACTTATGGTTCATATTGTGTTTATGCCATGTATTAGGGCTCCTAGCATTGTCCCTATTTTTGCTTCCATGATCTTTATTGTTTTTGATTTTATATTTAAGTCTTAGATCCATTTTGGGTTAGTTTTTGTGCACGGTGTGAGGTATGGGTCTTGTTTCAGTTTTTTGCAGATGGATATCCAGTTATGCCAGCACCATTTGTTAGAGGCTGTCTTTTCCCCAGTTAACGGACTTGGGCCTTTGTCAAATATCAGCTGCTCATAGGTGGATGAATTTATGTCTGGATTCTCAATTCTGTTCCACTGGTCTATGTATCTGTTGTTGTCCCAGTACCAGGCTGTTTTGACTACTGTGGCGGTGTAATAGATTCTAAAATCAGGTAGTGTGAGGCCTCCCACTTTGTTCTTCTTCTTGAGTAATGCTTCACTTATTCTGGGCCTCTTCCCTTTCCAACATGGATGAATCTTGAACACATTATACTGAAGGGAAGAAAGAAACAACAACAAAAAACAGTTCTTGTCCAGTACATTTCGACTCATGGCAACGCCATGGTTGTCAAAATAGAAGTGTGTTCTACAGGGTTTTCAACGGCTGTGATCTTTCAGAAGTATATTGCCAGGCCTTTCTTCTGAGGTGCCTCTGGGCAGATTTGAACCACCAACATTTTGCTTAGGAGCTGAGAGCTTAGAGCTAGTCACAAAAGACCACATACTGTTGATTACATTTCTATGATGTGTTCAGACTAGGAAAATCCATAGAGACAGAAAGTAGATTTGTTGTTGCCAGAGGTGAAGGGAGAGGAGTTGGGGGAAAATGGGAAGTGACTTTTTGACATGGGAAAATGTTCTGGAATTAGATGATGATGATGGCTGAACAATCTTATGAATATACTAAAAACCACAGAGTTGTACACTAAAAGGCTGAATTTTATAGTATGTGAATTATATCCCTATAAAAAAATCAGCCTCTAAATGGTCTGGCCTGCTTGACAATTAGAGAAACACTGGTACATGTGTTAACAGTCTGGAAAGAGTCTCAGATCGTGTTGCGGTAACATCAGAACCCATCTAGATTCCTTAGGGATAAGAATCACCATCAGCACAAAGCTGATTCCTACGAGGTAGAGAGCAGACCTTCCTCTACTCTCCTAATTCTTCATTTATGACACTAGCCATCCCCCCCACGGCACTCTCTACTTCTCTGCTGGGTTCGGTAATTGGTTGCACTGGCCACACAGAACTCACTGACCATACTCACAGTTAAGTGGTTTATTAAAGAAGTAACAGGGTACAACTCAGGATCAATATCAACAGCCTACAACTTGGGATCAGGATCAGTATTGGGAGGCATGTAGGCAAGGTCTGAAAGTCCCCCCCGAAGTGGAGACCACATCCCTCCCTTCTTCAGTGCAGGACAGCTCTCTCAGCTCCTCTTGGCCATGCAAGCAAGCAGGCCCTTCTCTCTGCTGTGCATGTCGCTTCTCAGCTGTGCAGCCCCTCAGAACAGGCCTCCTTTTGGTCGTGCACATGCCCTCTCAGCCGTGCAGGCCTCTCTGCCTTTAGCCTCCCTGCCATCGACCTCTCCACTGCTAATTGACCCAGCTCATCACCAGTGTAGCAGCTTGATCAGCTCTCTTAGCTGCTTCCTAGCAGTAGGTTTCTGCCGTCACTGCCCACTCTGATGAAGGGCCTGATCCACGCTCCTCCCCGTCTTCAGTGTTACAACCTTTGACCCGTGTTACAGATCTTTTAGGTTCCTTACCTCCTCTCTCTGCTTCTTCTCTCCTCTTATCTCTCTAAAACCTCTGTGGGGGGTTGACTGCTTATATAAGCAAACTCCTTGTAAATTTCAGGGAATAACCCTCCCAGCAGGGCCATGAACTGACCAATGCTCTTGGTGAACCACAAATCACTCGATGTGCATAGTAAACCGACCAATCCCTGCAAGGTGCATAAGATAGACCAATCACAGTGCAGACTACAACCCAGGGCTAGACAAAAAGTATCAAACCATCAAGTTGTTTACAGCTTACCCAGGAAATGTCAATCAGCCTGGACAAAAACAACAAACCCTCTGGGGTAGAAAACTAGGGCAAATATAACTCCTCAGGGTTTAGGGAAAAAAAAATCTCACAAGCTGTTTTTCCAAAGAACCAAGGCAAAAGGCCATATAAAAGAACTCATTTCGCTACCCAGCAAGTACTTTCAGAGCACAGACGATTAGAGGGACCAGGTCTTCCTGCCCTGGAGTGCATTCCTCTCACCTGACTGAGTCCCCCACCAGCCTGGACTTGTAGAATTGGCATCTCAAGTACTTTGTCGGGACTCAGAGAGATTCTTCTTATTACCCTGGAACAAGCTGCTTGTCATGATCAAGCAGTCTGTCATGATCAAGAAAAATGGCAGAACTTTGCAGGACCTTGTAGGCAGCAGGATTGTGAAAATATTGGAGTACCCCTGTATTGGCTGGTAAAGGCCCGTGCCTTGAGTGCCACGTAAGACACCTTAGCCTTTCCCCTGGGGCCTCTGGACCTCTCTGTGACCTGGCATCTAACAGGTTAATATCTCATGACAGAGACCTCAGGACCCCCTGTTACACTTCTTGCTTATTGGTCAGTGATAAATATTCAGTTTATCACCCGAATACACAAAGCCTCATCTAGATCAAGTGTGTGCCAGTCAAGATTGCCAAAAGCTCAATTTGTAGAAGCTGCAGGTATCTCAAGAATACTTTGCTCTTTCGCTTTTTTAATTTTCCACTTAATCTCTATTTATTCTCTCATTTGACTTTAACAATTCTATGAATAAACATTTGGGACCCTCTTCAACTTTCTAAGGTGCCTTTGAAAGGGGCTTCCACAAGTTCACATATACTTGTTCTAACCACCATAGTGTAGGTTTTTATTCCCACTTAACAGGTGAAGAGACCTGAGGGCCACTGAGGTTAAGTGACGTGCCAAGGTCATTGAGCTGATGGGGTGAGAAGTTGGTTTGGGACTTGGGCTTGTAGGGCTCTGTGTAATAATAGGAGTAGTAATAGTGTTATAACCTGTCTAACTTCAGGGGGAATAATATGAATCAAGATCAGCACAAGGCTTAATCCTATGAGGTGGAGATCAGACATACCTCCAGCCTCCAATCTTTTTACCAATTCTGACACCAGCCATCCCTCCCACAGCACTCTCTACTTCTCTTCTGGGTTTGATAATCCGTTGCAATAGCCACACAGATTTCACAGGCCATACACACAGTTAAGTGGTCTATTAAGGAAGTAACAGGGTACAACTCAGGCTCAGGATCAGGAAGCATGTAGGCAAAGTCTCCCTTCTTCAGTGAAGAACAGCTCTCTCAGCTCCTCTTGGCTGTACAAGCCTCCTCTTGGCCCCCTCAGGACAGGATCCTCTTGGCTCTGCCATCTCTCACCACTGACTCTGCTGCTGGGCCCCTTCTTGGCCTGTCGCTGTCTTCAGTGTTACAGCCTCTGACTCATGTTATACCTCTTTTAGAAGGTTCTTTCCCTTCTCATCTCTCTGCTTCTTCTCTCTTTCTTCCCTCTGCTTTTGTCTGCTTCCTTTCTTTCTGACTGAAAAACTTCTGTGGGGTTGGCACCATATGTACACAAACTCCTTGTCAATTTCAAGGCATTGCCTTCTCACCAGGGCCATGAACTGACCAATCCTCGCTCGGTAGGCCACATACACTTCATTTGCATAGTTAGCTGTACACACCTTATTTGTATAGTGTATTGACCCATCCTTGCAAGGTGTATACCAATCACAGGGCAGGAATAGACAAAAAGTATCAAATCACAAGTTGTTTACAGCTTACCCAGGAAATGTCAATCAACCTAGACAAAAGTAACAAACCCTCTGGGGTAGAAAACTAGGGCAAATGTAACTCCTAAGGGCTTAGGGGAAAAATCTCTCGAGTTGTTTTCTGAAGAACCAAGGCAAAAGGCCACATAAAGGAACTCATCTCACCACAGGCTCCAAGTGCCATTTTCTTTCTACCACAGTGGGAATAGAAAAGTATTGGTACCAGGCACATGTGTCTAAATGAGGTCCAAGTTTAATTTAGATTATCTCCTTAAAGTCCATCTTCTAGATCATTGTGGGGACTGGGAGACTGAATGGACTGTAGTGGCTGTGTCAGGAAGTTGTCCATTGACCAGCTTGAACCTCCAGCAACCCAACCAAGATAGGGTGCCTGTGTGACAGGGCAAGATAATTCACATGCAGCCCTGCATCCCCCTCTTCTTCAGGAGGTTCTGTTTTTTCCTACTCAGACCACTGCCTCCTGCAGATGGACAGTGGTTCTTTTCCTGCTCAGGGCCACTCCCTCCCTGCTTCCTGGGGGTGGACAACGGTTCTTGGGAGAAGGAAAGGGCTCTGTGTGGCTGGGGAAGGAGACTTAGGAGAGGAGCTTTCCATTCTCCTATGAGCAGGAGGAAGGAAAAGTAGCTGTACCACAGGATGGGGGTCGACGCAGTGGTCTCCAGTGGTCAGACCCTGGATGCCCAGAATGGTCCACTGAGGTGTGGGAAGAAACCATTAGAATTTCCATTAAAAAAAGGTTTCAAGGTGAGTCCTCTCTTGATCACATCTGATGGTCACATGTCACGTGTGGTACTAGTGAGGAACTCAGAGGGAAGGGGAGTCCCACCTCCCAAAAAGGGTTAGCAGACGACTCCTCACTAAGCCTTTAGATTGCTTCCTGGGCATTAAAAAAAATTGTAGATTTAACAGGGGCCCAGTTCTGTGGATTTACAGATAACTCTCTAATGTAACTAAACAATTTCCACCAGATGGACATGAGCTTTTAACATTCTCGCTGGAAACCACAAATGGAGGACAATTCAAAACATCCCAGCTCAAGTGAAAACAAAGTAAGTGGCAGAGTTGATGCTTCTATTCTTCATACAAACATTCGGTCCACACTTTGCACTGGGCCAAGCCTGGGGATGGGCCAGCTGCGGTGGGGACGGAGGGAAGGGGTGGTGGCTGGATTCCTTTGGGAGGGAACTGGGGGCCCTCAAGGGGAGCTCAGGAGGGAGCTCCAGGGAGTCTCCAGAGTGGTGTCTGTTTCCCGGGGTCCCCTCTGGCCATCTAAGGAGCTCCTTCTGGCCAACTGGGTGTTCAGACCCCACCACCTCTGCACTCACCCTGAGCCTGCCCTTGCCTTTCCTGGCCCCTTTCTCAGGGGAGAAGGAGTACATGATGGCATCGCCCTGCTCCTCGCTGATCTCCTGAGGGGAGCTCTGCAAAGACAGTGCCCGGCAGCAGGCCCAGGAGGCAGCAAGGGCCCGCCTCTGAGGCCACCTTCTTCCCTCTCTGCCCCTTCAGGCCCTTGTGCCTGCCTGGCCACCAGAGGAACTCTCAGTTCTCCCTCTGTCACTGTGTGGTGGAGGTGGTGTGAAACGTGACCTTTCTAGGGTATGGGCTAATGGCTAGGGGTCCACAGAACCACTTGGCTGAGGTACAAACACAGGTTTCTCTGACTGTTCCCCAGCTCCGTGGGTGCAAAGGAAAGATCCTTGTTGAGGAGGCATTAATTCCTCCCGCTGTGCAGCCTGGCCTGAGGGCTGTCCCATCAAGTCCTGGACTTGGGGGGGGTGAGGTGATGAAGATGATGACAGTGGTGCTGCTGTTGCACTACTGAGGGCTGACCCAGGCTCCATCCCCACGACGTCTCACCATCACTGGGTTCATGAGGCCGAGTCTGACCAGGAGTGTGGGCATGGCTGGGCTTGGTCCATCAGGTTGGGTGCCTTGGGGACTAGGGGACAGGGATGGCATAGGGAAGGTCATACATCACAGCTGCTTCCCCAGAGGGAGAGACAGAGAGAAAGAGAATGTAAGAGAGAGCCATGGCCATTTTGCCCCATCCTATCCCTTAAAAACAAGTCCCTTAGTCCAGTATACGCTCAGAAGGAGGAGGTTATACAAGGATGTGTAGAACAGGAGGCGGAATCTTTGGGAGCCATTGTGTAGGCTGCCCACCCCCTAGTCTGAGAAAAGGCTCTTGGGTCAGATTCTAAACATAAACATAATGGGAAATAATTGGAAGGTTTTATGCCAGAGGGTGGCAATGTCTGATTTTCTTTTAATTCCAACCCCTTCGTGGTGCAGACTGGGAAACGAATCCAAAAGGGGAAGTGACTTTACTAAGGTCACACTGCCAGGAACTGGCCCTATTTTGAGTTGTCCTCCATGTTACTTTCCACCCCTTCTTGAAATTCTTTCAACTCTAACTTTATGCATGAGCTACACGTGTCACCATCCCAAGGGCTTTATGGATATTATCTTTCATACATGGAGCTCTGGTGGTGCAAATAGTTAAGTGCTCAGCTGCTAACTGAAAGGTTGGTGTTTAGAACCCACCTGGTAGGTCCCTGAGAGAAATACCTGGAGATCTGCTTCCATAAACATTACAGCCAAGAGAACCCTATGGTGCTGATCTACTCTGTCACATGTGGTCGCTGTGAGTCAATATTGACTCATAGGCGCTTCACAACAACAATCGCACATACAACTAAGGAAGCCGCTAGGCATAGATCTTAGAATGATCCCCATTGTGCAGGTGGAGAGAGGTATAATGTCTGCGGGTCACAGACTGGTTAAGAGGGAGGATCCAGGTGTGAACCCAGCTCTGTCTTCTCAAAGCTAGAGCCTTGGATGCATCTAGGACTTCCATGGGTTCTGTGGGGACAGCTGTGTTGGTGGCACTGTGTACAGTTATGGAGATGGCATGGGGGAGAGGTGAGCATTCAGAAGCCCAGACGGGCCTTGGGAGGGTTTTTATCTGAGGAGTGGCCCAGGTAAGGGAACCCAGAATGTGACCTCACTTCCTTGGCATTTGAGCCCAACAGAACTTGGAACCCTGGAAACTAGGCCCCCACATTCTAGACCCAGCTCCTTACCCAGCCCACTTGGGTGGAGACACTCGATAAACCAACGTGTTTTCTTGTCTCAGGAAACCCAGGAGTTCTACCCTTTCACAAAGGTTTAGATGATGGTTCAGACTTCATCCCCGAAGGCTCTGGCCAACATTTTCCCAAAAGAAGAAGAAGGTAACACAAGGTGGCCCACGGCAGGCCAATCTAGGCCAGACCACTACTGTGATCCCACCTGGCCATCCCCATACCTCTCCTGGCCATACCAATCCCCAGGCCATGCTGGCCCTTGTCCCTATTGAGACCCAGTCTGGGGGCAGGGCAGAAGGGAAGACAGAATTGATGAGGCCCAAAGTTGTCAGGGTGGGACAGGGCTCATTTGGGTAGAGAGGCAGATAGGGGTCAAGGAAGGAGGGGTCATGTAATCTGGGAAGACTTGGGAGGATGAGGTAATGAGGATGACGACAGTGGTGCTGCTGTTGCACTATTGAGGGCTGACCCAGGCTCCATCCCCACGACGCCTCACCGTCACTGGGTTCTTGAGGCTGAATCTGACCAAGAGTGTGGGCATGGCTGGGCCTAGTCCATCAGGTTGGATGCCTTGGGGACTAGGGGACAGGGGTGGCACAGGACCTGGTTCACATCCCTGCCCCAACACCCCTGATCACATAGAGTGCTGGGACCTAAGTCTCTACCGAAAGGCTCCAGTTTAGACCCAGGGCTTTAGGGAACAGACTGTCAGTAGGCCACAGGCCACGTCAGCACTTTCATCTGGGCCTTCTGTGAGCTGCACACTCACCCTATGGGCAGTCCCCTGAGGTCCTAGGGTGGGCATCGATTGGGCCATTGATGACCTTGTGCCGACTTAGGCCCTCCCAGATCCTTCTGCAAGGCTCACTGGTCAACGTCTTTATCCCTGCTCCCCGAGCCCCCTCCTCTCTGCTGCAGGCTTTCCTCTTCCCTGGACAGTGGGAGGTGGGAGAGGGGGCTGTAGAGTCAGGGCAGTCGTGGCTAGCGGACTTGTCCAGGGCTTGATGAGGCAGCCCTCAGGCCAGGCTGCACAGCGGGAGGAATTAATGCCTCCTCAACAAGGATCTTTCCTTTGTGCCTACAGAGCTGGGGAACAGTCAGAGAAACCTGTGTTTTTACCTCAGCCAAGTGGTTCTGTGGACCCCTAGCCATTAGCCCATACACTAGAAAGGTCACGTTTCACACCACCTCCACCACACAGTGACAGAGGGAGAACTGAGAGTTCCTCTGGTGGCCAGGCAGGCACAAGGGCCTGAAGGGGCAGAGAGGGAAGAAGGTGGCCTCAGAGGCGGGCCCTTGCTGCCTCCTGGGCCTGCTGCCGGGCACTGTCTTTGCAGAGCTCCCCTCAGGAGATCAGCGAGGAGCAGGGCGATGCCATCATGTACTCCTTCTCCCCTGAGAAAGGGGCCAGGAAAGGCAAGGGCACGCTCAGGGTGAGTGTAGATGGGGTGGGGTCTGAACACCCAGTTGGCCACAAGGAGCTCCTTAGATGGCCAGAGGGGACCCCGGGAAACAGACACCACTCTGGAGACTCCCTGGAGCTCCCTCCCGAGCTCCCCTTGAGGGCCCCCAGTTCTTTCCCAAAGGAATCCAGCCACCACTCCTTCCCTCTGTCCCCACCCCACCTGGCCCATCCCCAGCCCAGTGCAAAGTGACTCATCCCGTGTTCATAGGCATATCAGAAACCAACCTTTTACACTGCTTTCTCTTCATGTTAAGTTGTGACTACACCTGCATTTTGCTGCTGTTTTTAGTGTTTTAACTACTGACCGAGGTATCCCATGGAGCAGTTGACTGAATTGTCCTTCCACACCTTTTCCCAGCCTCATACATCCTCATGCTTAATAGACTTCTTTCTACCCAAAAAGGGCAAGGTTCACGCTATGATATACCTTTTTATGCAACTTGCAATCTTCATGGAACACAACACCATGACCCCTCCTGATCAGGAGCTGTGGCCTGACTGTGCTGCAGAATATTCCAGTAGCGGGGCCACTTACCCCAGTGATTGAGCCTCTCACTGCTAGGGGACTTGAACATGATCGCTTTCTGCTACCCTTTCGGCCGTGCTGCGGTGAATGTCTTATGTGTGTCCTAATCTACTGATCCCATACTCAGGAGAGACTCCCAGGGATGGGATTGCTGGATAGAAGGAAATGTCTATTTAAAGTTAGGATCGCTGGAGTCAGACTCCTTTCCAAAACAGCTGTAGCAGTCACGTGGCCACCAGCAATCTATGACAGGGGCTGCATCCCTGCATGGAGCCTGACCCTGGGTTTAATCATTCTTTTAAATTCTTGCCAGTCTGGTATCATGGTGGCCAAGGGAACCACCGTGTTACTTTGATTTACAGTTGCCCTGCGAGAAGCTGAGCCCCCTTTCAGTTGTTGACTGGCCATTTGGATTTGCTCTCCTTGAGTCATCTGTTCAGATCCTTGGCCCTGTGTGTGGGGGGTCTTTCTCCAAACCTGAAATCTCCAGGCATTCACTCTTGGCTGGATATAGGACCACCACAGCTTCAGGCTCTCAAAACTCTCTTCAATGTAAAGAAAGAGAAATACATGTCATGCTTTGCCATCAAAGGGGTGTGTCTGCTCTGAGCACTGTTTCCAGACTGGGGAGGAAATGAGCTCACACCAGCCCCTTCCTCTGCGTGGCAGGAGCAGACTACGTCTCATGCAGCACAGAGGGAACATCTCGCAGCCCAAACGGTGGAGGGGTCTGGGCTCTGACCATGACTGAAGGCCTGGGTATTCCTGGTCTGAGCTCCAACCCCTGGCCCCCTGGTGGTTCATGGTGCTGCCGCTGACTGTAAGCCCCTCCTTTGTCCCACCTCCAGTGTGACCATGAGTCAGCCCTGGACCTGGATGAGACCAGCTTGGTGCCAACCGTCAAGGCAGGCACACTGGCAAAGCTGGTGGAGCACTGGGTCTCTGCCTTCCTGGGCACCTACACAGCATTCCCCACCAGCCAGTGGGTCCTGGATCTGCTCTTCCTAAGGGGAGTGCCCTACCACTCCACAGCCCAATGGAGACTCTGCCACCTGCCAGCTGTGCATCTTGGGGCTGTCACTTCACCTCTCTGAGCCTCAGGTTGCTCCCTTGAAAAGTAGGCTGGTGAAAGGATTGATCTCCCAGGAGTGTTGTGAAGACTCCCTGGGATAAGCCATGGACAGTGCTAATCGGGAGCCTGGCTGTGAAGAAAAGGCTGCTCGAGGGGATGGGGATGTTCACATTTATCATTACCTCTCCCCAGTGAAGAAGCTCTCTGGCTCGCCCCTCAGTGACCCCATGAGCTAGAGGAATGCCTTTTCCCATTTGTAAAGGGGGCTACAGGTTCCATGTAGTGAGTCCCAGTCCTTGAAGTAGCCAGAAGAAGGATCCCTAGGGGCTGGGAGAGAGGCCCCAGGCCCACTCAGACATTAGAGAAGGTGCTGGTTGACTTCATTCAACAAATATATAGAAAGCACCTACTCCGGGCAGAAGCTTTCCTGGGCAGTTAAAAACAAACAAACAAACAACCAACCAAACCTGTTGTCAAGTCGATTCTGATTCATAGCAACCCTGTAGAACAGAGTAGAACTGCCCTGTAGGGTTTCCAAGGCTGTAATCTTTATGGGAGCAGACTGCCACGTCTTTCTCCTGGAGAGCAGCTGTTGAGTTCTAACCGCTGACCTTTCAGTTAGCAGCCCAACACTTTACCACTACGCCATCAGGGCTCCTTTCCTAGGCACTTAGTATCATCCAGTTAGCACATCAGACAAAACACCCTGCCCTCCTCGGCCTCCATTCTAGTTGGGAGTCAGACAGGAGCACTAAGACATCATAAGCAGGTAGTGTCCACAGTGCATTACATGTGATGCCCTCACCACCTCTTCTAGGTGTGGATGTATCCTCTCCTAGTCTGATGGGGACAGCAGACCCCAGGTCCAGCTGAAAGAGTGAGTGGACTTTGGGTTGAAAAGGAGGAGCTCCTGTCTCCACAGAAGTGTGGAGAGCTATGGAGTGGGGGCTGTGCTTGGGGAATGGCTGGGCATAGTCCATGGCCCCCACATCTAGATTCTCCCTAGAGGAATGAATTCAGAGCATCCCCCTGAAGGAAGAAAGAAAGCATAGAGAGCTGGGGATGGAGCCCTGGGTGTCCTGGGGAGCAGAGGTGGGGAGCCTGGGAGCTCATACCCAGCCCTTGAAAGACTCCATCCCTACCACAGTCCCCTCCCAGCTCTGCTTGTCCCCTTCCCCAATCCGAGGCCCAAGACAGGAGGTGTGGTGATAGACCTGTTCTTGAATCTGCTGAACCTTAATCATGGGGGCTCACCTGCATGTGGGGCTGGGATGGCTGGGCACCTGTCCTTCGGGAGAATGGTGTCAGTGTGAGAAGAAGAGATCTTCCCAAGCACATAGAAATAAGGCAGCACGCTGGTGCACAAGCTCCAGGTTGAGGAACCAGGAGGGCCCTGGGTAGACTGGGGCAGGAGGACAGACTCTGTTTGTCCGTCAGCTGTCAATATTCACGGAGTGCCTATTCTGTGCCAGGCTCTGCAGTGAACACACAGATACAACTCCTCCCTGTCCTTGGGGAGTTTTCTTTCCAGGGAGGAGGAGACTGAGGAGTCAGACAGGGAAGTGCGTCAGACCTCCTGAAGAAGAGGAGAGTGAGTGAAATCACTGATGGAGAGTTCCAGGGATCGAGGCTCCTTGTTAGCCCTCTGCCGGGTGACCAGGCCTGCCACTGCCAGGACAGCTAGAGTGGGTCGGGGGAGCAGGGTGGGGCTGGCCTCCGGGAGGTCAGGGACAGGCACAGGGGCCCAGTGTCTGCAGGGGTACTGTGGGAGGACAGTGTGGAAGGAAGGCCAGGCCTCTGACTCTGCTGTACTCCTGCCCACCCTCAGTGCCATCTCCATCCTGGGCACCTCACAGGAAGAATACTCAGAGGAATTCTATCAGCTTCCGGAATTCCTCCCCCGAAAGTGCTGGCGGCCTATGTGATGCTGAATATGCCCAGCTAGCACCTGCAGTGCCGTCCCTGCTTACTGCTTCCCCAGCGTGAGCACCCAGAGCCCAATGAGACAGAGCCAGAGGGTGAGGACAACTGGGGATGGAAGAATGTCAGCTTGTTTGCAGGGGTGTGGGGCTGGCCACACAAGGAGGAGCCTTCAGAGGCTGGTGTTAGGCCAGAACTCAGAGTAACCTCAGACTGCTCACCTGGTGGACTGCAGTCTGGGAAGAATTCCTGGAGAGGAGTTCTTGGGTTGGGACTTCTCTTAATGGCAGGGGAATGCTTTTCATCTTTGGAAAGGCACAAAGAAAGGCAGTTGTGTTGTAAACTTTATTCCTCTTGCATCTCCAGCACCAGGTCCAATGCCAAGTGTAGTGCCAGCTCTCAAATCAACTCATCCAGAACAAACTGTAGAACCCAATAGTGATGTAGAGCCAGCTTAGGCACCAACAGCTGGTCTCGTCCCAGCTCCTCCATCACCAGCCCTAGCACAAGCACCTGAGGGAGAGCATGCCCCCATTCGAGATCAAAACAGCACATCACCTGAGGAGCCCCCCTCTGAGTCCACAGGACATATCACCTGGGGAGCCCACTCCAGGTCCACAGGATGCAAAACCTGAGGAGCACGCTCCAAGTCCAAAGAGAACATCACCTGCGAAGTCCCCTCCAGGTCGACGGGGCACATCACCTGGGGAGACCACTCCCAGTCCACCCAGCCCATCACCTGAGGAGACCTCTCCAGGTCCAAATGGGAGATCATAAGAAGAGACCGTTCCATGTCCCCTACTCACATCACCTGAAGAGACCACTCCAGGTGCACAACTTGCATCACTTGAGAAGCCTGCTTCAAGTCTTCATGGCATCTCACCTCTGGAGTCCACTCCAGGGCCACACAGAGCATCACCTCGTGGGTCAGCCCCAGATGGACAAGGAGCATCACCTCCAGGCCCACCCTTGATAGACACGGAGCACCACCTGCATGGCCTGCCCCTGATGACACAGAGCAACTTCTGCGTTATTCATCCCCATTTGACAAAGAGCATCACCTCCAGGGTCCACTTCCAATCGACACCAAGCATCACCTGCTGAACCTGCCTTTGATCGACATAGAATATCCCCTTCAGGGCCCACTCCTGATACACAGGGAGGATCACCTGCAATTCCCACCCCAATCCACAGTAAGCATCACCTGCAGGTCCCACCCCTGATCCAAACGGAGCATCACCTGCAGGGCTGACCCCCGATTGAAATGGAGCATCACCTCCAGGGTATGCCCTCCGATTCATATGGAACATCATCTGCGGGATCACCCCCCATCGACAAGGAGAATCACCTCCAGAGCCCACCAATGATCCACACATAACATCACCTGCGGGATCTGCCCCTGATCCTATCCTCACAGAACATCACCTGTGGGACCTACCCTCTATCAACATGGAGCATCTTGTATGGCGCCCACCCTGTGTTCACATGGAGCATCAAATCTGGGGCACACACCTGATCCACATGGAGCGTCACATGCGGGGCCCACTCCAGGTTGAAATGCAGCATCACCTGAGGGTCCTGCTCCCAATCCACACAGAGCATTACCCTCGGGGCAGCCCCCGTTTAACCAGGAGCATTACTTGCAGGGCCCACACCCGATACACGTGAAGCATCACCTGTGTGGCCCACTGCCATTTGAGATGGAGTATCATCTATGGGACCCGTAACCAATAGACACGGAGCATCACCTATGGGGCTCGAATCTGACCCACATGGAGCATCACCTGTTGGGCCCGCCCTCAATCTACAGGGAACTTCTCCTGTGGGGCCTGCCCCTAATAGACACGTGGCATCACCTGTGGGGCCTGCCCGGGATCCACAAGGATCAACTCTGTGGCTTACCCCCAATTAACAGGGAACGTCATCTGTGGGGACTGCCCCCCCAATAAACACGGAACATCACCTGCTGGGCCCACCCACGATTCACAGGGAACATCACCTGTGGGCCTGGAACCCAACTGACACAGGGCATCACCTGTGGGATCACCCCCAATCAACAAGAAGCGTCACCTGCGAGGTCCGCCCCTAATCAACACGGAGCATCGTCTGCAGGGCCCGCATCAGGTACGCACAAAGCAACACCAGTGGGACCAGGCCCAATCCACATGGAGCATCAACTATGGGGCCCACACCCAATCAACATGAGGCATTACCTGTGGGGCCCACCTCGGACCCACACAGATCACCAACCCTGGGGTCTGCCCCAAATCCATAGGGAAAATCATCTACAGGACCCACCCCTGACCACCAAGGAGCAACACCTGCAGGGCCCGCAACCCACTGACAAGAAGCATCACCTGTGGAGCCCACCACCAATCTACTGGGAGAATCACCTGAGGGAACTTCCCTCCAATACACACAGAGCATCACCTGCAGGGCCCACCCCTGATTCACAGGGAAGATCACCTGTGGGCCCAGCCCATAATCGACACGGGGCATCACCTCTGGAGCCCGCCTTGGATAAACACAGATCATCAACTCCGGGGCCCACACCCAAACCACATGGGGCATCTTCTTCCAGGTCCTCCCCAGATCCACACCAAGTATCACCTGTGAGACCACCCTCAATTAACAAGGAGCATCACCTGTGGGGCCTGCCCCTGATTCACGGGGAGCATCACTTGTGGGGCCCGCCCCCAATTGACAAGGGATATCACCTGTGGAGCTCTCTCTGTATCCACACAGATCATCAACTTTGGGACCTACCCCAAATTCATAGAGAACATAACCTCCAGGGACTGTCCCTGATAGCCAAGGAGCATCACCTATGGGCCCCGAACCCCACTGATAAGGAGCATCACCTGCGGGCTGGAACCAAATGGACGTGGAGCATCACCTGTAGGGCTGGCCCCTGATTGAAATGAAACATGACCTCTGGAGCCCGCCCCAGATCCATAGGCAGCATCATCTACGGGGACTGCCCCCCAATTGACATAGGGCATCACCTGTGAGGCCCTCCCTCGAGCCACACAGAGCATCAACTCTGGAGCCCACACCAAATCCACATGGGGCATCACCTTCAGGGCCTACCCCCAATCCACACCTAGCACCACCTGCAGGGCTGCCCCTGATTGACAAGGACCATCATCTGCAGGGCCCACTCCTGATGGACACAGAGCATCACCTTTGGGGGCCCCCAATTCATGGGGAGCATCACCTGTGGGGACCACCCCCAATCGATGTGGGGCATCACCTTTGGGGCCAGTCTTGGAGCCACATGGGTCATCAACTCTGGGGTCCACCTCCTGTTCACACAGAGCATCACTTCGGGGCCTTCCTGAGCTCCATAGGAAGCATCACCTATGTGACCCACACCCAATCGACGTGGTGCATCACCTGTGGGTCCCACCCCCATTCTGGAGAGAACATCACCTGTGAGGCTTGCCCCCAATCGACAAGGGGCGTCACCTGTGGGACCTACCCTGGGTCCACAAGGATCAACTCTGCGGCCTGTCCCCAGGTCACAGGGAGCACTACCCTCTCCCGGTCCACAAAGAGCACAACCTGAGGGGCCCACCCCAGATCCATAGGAACATCATCTACGGTGACCACCCCACAATACAAAAGGAACATCCTCTCAGGGGCCCACCCCCGATCCACAGGAAGCATCACCAGTGGGACCCACCCCCAATCGACAGAGGGCATCACCTGTGGGGTCCATCCTGGATCCACACAGACCATAAACTCTGCAGCCCACCCCTGATTCACAGGGTGCATCACCTGAGGGGCTGGCCACCAATCCACGCAGATCATCACATGGGGGGCCTGCCCCAATCAACATGCAGCATCACCTCAAGGTCCTGCTCCCAATCAACACAGAGCATCGCTTGCAGGGCCTGCCACAATCCACAGGGAACATCACCTGTGGACCCGCCCCCAATCCACACACAGCGTCGCCTGCAGGGCCAGCTCTCAATCCATACGGAGCATCACATCCAGAACTTGCTCTAGAGCCGAGCCAGCCTCAGCACGTACTAGCATCCGTTCCTGAGCCAAAGCTGGCGCCAGGCCTTCATGCCCTTCACCTGAGAAGGCTTCTCTTTCATGTTTTGGCACTTCTTTTCTTGATCTACATTGATTTTTTTGTTTCGCTAATTTTAAAATCTAGGTTTGACCTTAAATAAAGTTTCACATTTTGAATATTTTAAAGTGTATAATTCAACGGTCTTACATGCTTTTTCTGAGGATGGCGCAGGACTGGGCAACGTTTTGGACTGTTATACACGAGGTCACTCTATCCAGCCTCGTTTCAGAAATTATCAAACAGCAAGTAGGAAAACTTTTCATTCTCATTCTTCTGTCCTGGGTTTTACTAACAAGGTAAAATATCGCCCTAAAAGATTAGACTGGTTTTATCTGGAAAAGCAAAAGCATAGGGAACTGAGGGGAAGGGTTAGAAATACAGTAAAAAATAGCATATATCCAGCAGTTATTTGTAATCGCTGATATTCTCTGTGAGAGATACCCTTGGACCCTCCCAGGGTGCCCTGCTAGGTTGGTTCTTGTACATAAGAAATGGAGTTCTTCCTGCCCAGATGTTTCTGGCTTCTAGTTCCTCACACATTGTAATTTCAGGGTTTCTTTTTCCTTTCCTAATTAAATAGATATGGATATACCATGTACAGTATTTTATTCGGATTGATGCCACATTATTGCAGAAAATTAGAAAAATGTGCAATGCAGAGTACAGAAATGACTCATAATCCCACCACTAAGAATTTCCTCCCATAACTCCTGCATTTCTGGGCCTTAGTGTTGAGTTTGGATCAAAATGGAAAATGTGTGTTTGGCTTTTGGATGGCATTTCCATTGCCCTCTTGACTCTACAGTGTCATAGCTGGACGGACCAGCTAGTGATCACCTGGCTTGTCCACCTCCCGTGCTCAGAGACGGACAGGAGGCAGAGACAGAGACTGGAGGCAGGAAAGCCAGGCATTTTGGACTCTGTCCTGAACCTCACCATCGTCGTCACATCTTTCCCTCTCACCTGTCACCTTGAAAATTTCTTTTGACTTGGTCCTCATCCTTCTCCTCCCTCTGCCTCAGGCCTTTGCCTCTCCCTAGCCCATAGAAGGAGACAACAAGAACAGCCACAAAAGCTGTGACTTACTGAGTTCTTGCTGTGTGCCAGCAAGGACTTCATCCTCTCAATAACTAGAAAGAGGGAACGTAATGAACCCTATTTTACAGATGAAGAAACTGAAGCTCAGAGACTTGGTAATTCGGCCAAGATCTCCGAGATAGAAGGTGATTAGAGGCAGGATCTGAATCTAGACCCTGTAACTCCAGAGTCTTGTACCAACCACTATGTTATCCAGTCTTGGGACTAACCAGAAAATAGTTTATAATCACCTGATTGTGCTTGTGTACTGAAGCATAGCATGCACTTCAAAACTGTAGAAATGTTAAGTGTACAGCCTGATGAATTATCAAAAGGGAACATACCTGGTTAGCAGTGCTACATTAAATAGAACATTATCATCCCTCCGAGAGCACCCAGAAATCATGACTAGGGCCAGATTTAGGGCCAGAATCAAGGTCTGGACAATTGCTAGGGTCAGCATCAGAGCCAAGGTCAGGTTCAAAGTAAAAGTCATGGTCAAGTACATATCCAAGGCTAGGTCCAAGGCCAGAGACATGACCAAAGACAAGTACAGGACCACAATCAGGACCAGAGTTAGGGCCAAGGCCAGGGACAGGCTCTGGGTCAAAGTTAGGGTCAGGGGCTGGGAATTACCAGGTGGAGAAGTGCTTGGGTGTTATAATATGCAGGTGTTTTTCCTTTTCCCCCTCCAGGATCCAGATTAAATGCAGTCAAAGCACTTCTCCACAAACAACTCTTGTTAAATCTGAATATATGTAATATGAAATGAGTGAAATCCGAATATCAAACGGCTGAAATCTGAAGATCTTGTTGCAAATAGGTTACCAATTTGTCTGTAATTTGTCATTGTGGGATGATACTTTAAACCAAATGGGGAGGAATAGTTAATGAAGCTCTCCAAGGAAGAATTCTGAAAATAAATAAATCTGTACCCTTACAACAAATGAGAGAAAGTAACTTTGAAAGTAGGTAGATAAATATAAAAGTTTAACAAGACTTACGAATATACTTTCTTAAGCTGAAAAGAAACAGAAAAGTAAATAAATTCATAATGCTTGAATTGTTGAATGAAAGTATCAGTTATTATGGGAAAGAAGACTCAGACTCATAGCGACCCTATAGGACAGAGTAGAACTGCCCCATAGTTTTTCAAAGGCTGTAAATCTTTACGGAAGCAGACAGCCACCTCTTTCTCCCATGGAGCAGCTAACACTTAACTGCTGCGCCATCAGGGCTCCTTTATATACAGTAGGCCTACCCACCCATACTCATTGCCGTCAAGTTGATTCTGACTCATAGCAACCCTGTAGGACAGAGTAGAGCTGCCCCATAGGGTTTCCAAGACTGTAAATCTTTACAGAAGCAGACTACCAAGCCCTTAACCACTGCGCTAGCAGGGCTCCTTACATAAACCTTTGTTGTTATTGTTGTTAGGTGCAGTCGAGTCAGTTCCGAATCATATCGACTGTCCAGGCATGGACCAGTAACTTGAAATTTGCCTCTTAAAATGGAGGGTGCTGAGAGACTCAGAAAAGAGGCAGACAACTCCAGTGTGGTGGTGAAGGAGCTTTATTATACAAACGACACAGTGGTCCTGGCTGCAGGAGGACCAAAGCAGATCTCTGTGCCCAGCAGTGCAGGGTGGTAGTGGTGGTGGATGTTTTATAGTGGTCAAGGACAAAGGTGACCATGAGCCAGAGAGTTATATAAGACTGCCTCAGCAAGGTCACATAACAGGGGCTTAGAAAATAGCAGTCAACTAACAGAAAGCATGAGGGCAGCCATGTTTGACCTTGTAAGGCCAGTTTTCCCGTCAGTCCACCCCTCGAGGCTGACTCTTACAATCTGATGCATTCCCCCTGTTCCACAGAGTTCCTGAGGGCCCCAAGAAGAAGTGTCACTGTAAGGACAGACATCGTTGCTGTAACTGGAGCCATAGACCACACCACTAGTATAGACAAACACAGCAGGCAATCCTATACCCAGGAAAAATACAAGACCCATCAAAACACCATGCCAACTAGAGAGGAAAGAGGAAAACCAGGCAGCCATAGCAGACCAGCCATCATGTGCATCCAGGGCCTCTATTTCTTTCTTCACTTGGCCTAACTGATGAGTTATGCTCTGGTAGTAGTCTGGTATAGAGGAACAACATTCCGTCTTTACTATGGCACATGTCCTGCTTTGAGCGGCTGTTAGAATGTCCAGAGCCATTCGGTTCTGAAGGACTACCCTCCTCATTTAGGCGGTTTCAGTAGTTAACAGCCACAAGATTTCTCTGGTGTCATTCAGGGCATGTTTAGTAAAATTAGTTAAAGCTTCAATTTGTCCTATTACTCGTAAGGATTCCACGGGGGGGGGGGGGTGCACAAAACAGCTAAAAGGTGATCACACCGGTGGAAAAGGCTATGCTTGGCCCACCTGGATTTCACCATGAAGTATTTCAGTGGTTTTGGTATAGTTT